CCTCTGATTTTTTTTCTTTTCATTGATAACTACACACGGCGAGACCACTTGAATTATCACAGCCATCCGACTGAAGTTCAAACCCCAATATTTGAAGTATCACAGTCAAAATGGCGGTGATTTGGAGATGATCTTCTCGCTCCTATTTAAATAATGTTCATTGCTTGTCTTCCCATGCTCACCTTGCCTTCCGAGTAGTTACAGGTAGATTAATGATCAACAATAAAATGTATAGACAGTACAGTGTTAAAGAAGTCAAGTCCTTTAACAATGTCCCTATACTACTGTGGTTTGTGACGAGAAGGCCTATTGTACAGCGCCATTCGGGACACGAACAAACAAGCAGAGTTATTACACATCAAAAATGGTGCTCAAGATTTATGCTACTATGGTTTATCCACCAAAACTGGACTTCGTCAATCACACGTATTTTAGAGAGAAAAGAAAAGTGGGGGGAATGCAAGCCATCATGATTAGAACCTATACGTTTGGCGCTTATACTATCTTGATATCTAAACCATAAAAAAAGTATTTATAAAAAAACATTATTTCAATCACGAGATTTTTATCCTAGCATATTAAGGTGGATCACTTTACTGTCTTGCGTAAGAAAACAATGCAAACCGCCCTGTCCAAGACTGATCGTGTTCGATGGTTGATTGCCTCGCCCCACCCCAATGCCGCGCGCTAGTTGCTCCTTCGTAGTTCGCCCTCATACGGCATAACTTAGCGATGCTCTTGTGGGAGTAAATGGGATGGTCAAAGCCAGTCACGCGAGGGCGCAGTACTTTGTGGACTGTTGCGGAGTCGTGGTCTGGAGCAAGGTCAACTTACATGCTCTATAGAAGCAGTTGTGATGGTGCCTTCCTTTCTGTATTCTGATTGAGGCCATAGAAAGTAATATATTTATATCGTGTACTTGATGATTTTATTTTCCAACTTGTATTACGTGTTGAGCGATCTGTAAGTTATGTCCTATCATCCTCGCAAACAATTAAGTCAATACTGAAAACCTCAACGCATCCTTAGCGACTGGATTGAATGAAAATCGCTTCATATTTCAGCAAACAGAAAATGTTGCCGAAATATGCGAAGATAAAGAGGGCGTGCTATTGACTCATCGCGCCAAATGCATTTTGACATCAATCGGCACGTGCGAAATCCATAGGTTTCTAAGTGGGTGATATTTCTCATGGCAGCGAAAGCGCAGCGAAAGCGCAGCGACACTTTGCATGCTATAGAGTCTTACTGGACTTTCTAGTAAACAAGATTTTGTTGTTACAATATTGCAGCAGGTCTGCTCACTAGTAATTAGCATATTTGAGATATGGCAGGACTGATTGATTTGAGTGAAGTCTTTGTATTTACCCAAACCAAACAGCGCCCTCCTATTGCGTCGGCCATATCTCAAATGGGCTGGAGCCCGTCGTACAGATTACGTAGGTCCGTGCATGTGATATTGACTTTAGTAATTAATAAGGAATATAAGTAAAAATGTCCACTCATTTTAGAGTTATGGATAATATAAAAAAGCTTTCCAGTTATTGGCATTTATCGGCTTTGGCAAATGAACTCTTCATTTGTAGTCGTTATTTTCATTTTAATTAAAAAAAAAAACTAGCCTCGCAAATTTCATCATCATCCCGTACATTTCCATGTACAGATTTACTGCCACAGTATACACTGGAATTCGAGTGTTGAACAACGGTGCACTCTGCTCTGAAGCAGCGATTCAAAATCCTCCCCACACTGCTCAAGTCTAACTCCGCTGCGTCCTAAGAACCTGCAGGATGACCACTTGTAAATGAAATGAAATCAAGGAGTAGGGCCTTGTTCTCAAGGTCTTCGGTGATCCGATGCGGAGACCGGGTGTGAGTCAACAGAGTCACCCGATCCCACCCTCCTCGGCTCTTTTAGCTGGCAAGATTGGTTTCTACTTGACCGAGGCTCATCACGTTTTTGCATGGTTGAACCTGAGACGGGCTAGCGCTCACAATCAAGAAAGCCAAAAGACCGCCAAGACTGCGGTGCTAAACAACCGTGCATATCGAATTATTTTAGGCCTGCCTATTTGTCCCATTATCATTTTGTAGACGTGCTTTGTCCGATTTGCTTGCTTGATTTCTTGCGTTCTCTTCATCATTATCCAGAAAACTGGTTTGTTAGTGCGGTTTTAAGAGCAGCATATAATTCTACTAAAACGTCTTGTTAGCACGCTTTGCCTACATTGGGGATATTAAATGGTTATTGGCTTTTGTATATTCAATATAAATATGTATGAATTTGTGACAACGTATTTTGAAATGCACGCAGAATTATAATTTGCATTTTGTGTGTGTTTCTTTTCCTGGATATTATTTTGTTTTCCCTCCAGTTTGACTTTCTTGTTCTTGAAACTACTGTTCAATGGACGATGCTTGCATTAATATAATCAATGTAACACCTGCACTGTTAAATAAAAACAATGTTGGGTATCTATAAAAAAAAAATAATAATAATAAAAAAAAACCTAGTGGTTCTTTATAACTTCAACAGCGTACAGACAGTCAACAAAATCGTTTCATGCGCATACATGATCCCAGGTTTGATGTCCTTTTTTTCCTTGTTTTTCTACGTTGTTTCTTAGATGCGGTGAGTACACTCTCTCTTTACTCTCATGGGAGCATCGAAATCTTCTGTTGACAAAAATTAAAAAAGACACATACACGCAAGGCACGATGTGATTTCTTCTCATCACTGGAGAGAGTACTATATAGCAGCTTAGATAATTCGAAAGCATTGGAGAGGGGCTGGACGCTGTCCTGACATAATAGACAACCGTAAAATGGATGTTAGACGAGCAATATCTTCGCGCTATAACATCATGTCTCCTCCCACTCCCACCCCCCACCCCCCCTCACCGTCTTCGCAACATAGCCTTGCCTTGTCTTGTTAAAAAGAAGTCATCAGCAAGCGGCGGGGGTAGGGGATATTGAACCCTGACCAAGTTTTCTAAGCGTATGTTACCCGCTTCTGCAAAGCGTCACCCACCTGCATTGATGTCACTGAATTGGAGTCTAGCAAACGAAAACTTTGAATTGGACGTTAATGACTTTCATTGGGATTAATTAGGCGAAACCGTGCACACGTGGGCGACATGATCGTACCAAAGAAACATATTTAATTAACCGTCCAGTGTGCATGACATGACCTTGGAGGTAACACACCATTCGGGTACCGTCACTGGGGAGGGTAACCCGCGTGTATTAATGACATCAGAAACTGAGAACTGCCCTCAAAGATCCATTTGAAATCTTAATTATTGATCACCAGAGTTGCGCGTTGGATCCCAATTTACGCAGGAAAACACGCATGAAGTATATGTAATGAGGTGTTGAGTGCCAACTACGTCAAGATGGTTAGTAACAATGAGTTCAGTTTCAGCTACAATCTGATGTGCATGACTGGGAACGTTTCGGACTTTTTATACACAAGTTTCCACCTATCAATTCACGGAAATTTGCACATTTTGATAAGTTTTTGAGGCGAGTATGTATTGAATATTTAATTTAAAAAAACTCCGTGTAAGGCAATTTCTTTGAAAGTGTTCCTTACACATTGCCTGGTATTTCAAACGGTAAGACATTTTAAAATGTTTACAGAGGGTAGAAATAAACAAAATGCTCCCAAAATTTCCTCAACAGAAAAATTATATACCATAAAATATAAAGCTTTGGGGGTATTTTTGTAATACATTATTTTCAAGACATGGGAAAGAAAACAAATCTTTCTTTGTGCCCCGCGCATCTCTCTGACCGTGTGACGTCATCGACAAATTAGCACACCTACAGATTGTTTCCTATTCCTTGTTAAGCATTTATATGCCTAGCCTTTGACTAAACTCATCGCAGGAAACAGAACCCATCCCTACTTCCTCTTCGCTGATGTCCTATCATTCCAGAAAACAAGAAGTTTATGTAAACGGTGTTTTTACCGTAATCACCAATCGCGGGTGCGTGTCAATGTCTTTAGCTATACACATATGCAAGAGGGTGATGAATTAATGAATAGTGAATAGCTGTGATCACGCACTGAAGTGGGGAAATCTACCCCGCAAGTTGCACAAACACTCCGATCTGCTGATCTTAAACAGATTGCTAGTAGTAGACTCAAATCTACGTAGGAGGTTAATAAGAACCTTTCGCCCCACAATATTCCGCTTGTCACGTACATTGTTAAATTGTCGAATGTTTAAAAAAAATTGTCGGATAAGCAAAAAAAATGCCACAGCCTACGCAAGATCTTGGCGAAATAATATCCGTAAAAAGGCATAGGGTTGGGTTTTTGATTGAATAGAGTATGATAATAAAATATAAATATATATGCTATCAGGCGGGGTTTTTTTATCTTTTTTTTTTTTTGTGCGTAGTCCGATTTTTGTGTGCTAATTCCTCCTAGAGACGATCAATCTAAAATAAGACCTGAAGCCATGCGTCATGTTGAAACAAAATCCCTCTACTATTTTGCCAAAAACAGCAACTTTCGGATCAAATATCTTCCTAGTTTCTCAGAAATGCAAGCTTACAATCTTGCTCAGCACAGGGACCCTTTCAAATCCTTAAGTGCAAAGCTTAAACCCTCTTTTCAGAGAACAGTCGTATTTTCGGCTGACGTAGGGTTATATTATGACACATTTACAGGTCCAAAACTTACAATGATAAGCTTTCGAAATATTGCAACATCTACTCCTACGATTACATACCTTAGTCGATAGTTCGCCGACCGTTCAAAGAAAAACAATTAGACGAAAAACAAACAAATTTCTGAATTTGACCACCCCTTTTAGCTGTACTCAAATTACCAGTTTTTATGTAGGCGTTGCCATTAGTTTCAGTCGAAGGTAAGGCATTTCAGAGAATAATGCGTTGTGACATCGACAGCGCTTGGCGGAAGGATATCGAAGTGTCAGTGGTTGTTCTCGGAGCATGCGCACGGTGGATTAACGGAAGTGCGAGAAACGCGTGATTCGCGCAGTGGCGCTGAAAACTTTGCTTATGCACCGACACTTCGTTGGCATCGAATGCTGATATTTGCTAGGGGTGGCTATACTCAACGTTCATGCTGATGAGGTACGTAACTACAGGAAGCAGGCACTGCCAGTCATGATGATGACGATGATAATGATGCTGATGATCCGTAGACAAGTCACAAACGTGGGCAGCTGAATAAGTGGTTAAGTACGCAACCAACTTGGTCTGGACTTGCAGTGGCTATCACGACAAGAGCGGACAGACCGTCAGGACCGAACGGCAAATAACTGACTAACCATCGGACCAGCGCTGACCAAAACCAAAAAAAGAACTGTACTCGTGCAGTAAAACACAGAGAAACGATATTTTCACGGCTCACACAACCACCAGCGGCGAGAGAGCGAGAGTGTGTGGTGGGGAAGACGGGGCAAATCACGGGCGCCCAAGATGTCACAGACCAGGGTAGTGTGTGGTTGCGCGTTGATTCTACTGGCCTTGTGTTGCATTCAACAGGTCAGGTGCCTACACCTGTCCAACCGTCTGCTCTCCCACAACACCGATACTCGAGTGGCTCAAAGTAGTACCAGACAAGTCGATGGAGACACCGAAAAGTTTACTAGAAATCGACGATTTAACAGACTTCATGTAAGTATATTTCCCTTTTCTTTTCGTTCGATGAGTAAGATTTAAATTGACGTTTTTGTTTGGTTTGCTTTTGTGTAGAACTGGCGTAGCATGGTTAAGCCTATTTGTGTCTTCAGGATAGGCAAACAAAAATATTCTTAACATAGGGCCTACAGTCCATATTGATGCCTCAGTGCCATATCGATCGTGTAATTTCATTATTTTGTCAAAATTATTGGTTTTCTAATGCTGAAGTTTTGTTTTTGCATATATTCAGTGTTTGCATTTGAGTCAGCGTTACATTGTTTGATATCGAATGTAACGGTTTCATTCAAAATATGAATTAGGTCCGGTCGAAAATAATTTGAATTCGATTCGTTTTCTTATCACGTAATTGTATATAATAATATATGCAGGCTAAAAGACGACATCACAAAGTTAAAAGCCAAACAACATTGTAGTTTGTCTTGAGTTTCCTGAGGTCGCTCGTGTCACTCGAGTCAAGTGCCGGGCCTGAGCGCATATTTCTGGCATCAATATTAGCGTTGCCCTGGAAACGGGTACAGAATCACTATAGAGCACATTATTTAGAGAGTACAATCGTAAAAGCTTTTCCCGATTAACTTCTCACGACGACACAAACGGGAACTGATATTTACTGCTTCTGTACATCGATCTAACATCAGACGACTATGGTGGCTTTAAAGAGACATCGCACATATATATTGACGCCATTGATGCCAATATTCACATGGTCTCCATGTCGCAAATATTGACGCCAATATTCACGACAGGCCCAAGTTGTAAACCCACTCATGCGTGAATTTTTTTCACAGCAACTTGACCTGGCTCAAGGTAGCCGCGGATTCGGCCGGATTTCTAGCCGCATATTCATCCGCGCATTCACCAAAAGTCAAAAAATCTATAATACATGCTGCAAAAGGTGATCTATTTTCCAGATAGATAATTTACTTTATGTAACGATTTTCTCAAAATAAACGACAATATATTTTTTCACGCTGTATCAAATTAATATAATATAATTCACAAAATAAGCAACCATTTCCTTAACGATTATTGAAATGTTGATGCGATAATAACTTATAAATTAACTACTTAATGGGAATAATCACATTTCGCGTAATACGCAGCCGAATAGAACCATTCAATAGGGAAGGGAAAACGGGGTCACTGTAACGGGCTAATTAGTCTTCAGCAGAAGCAAATACCAAAATTAAGTCTGCCAGTATATCTCGTAGATTATGAAATAAAACTGCAAGTTTTTGGCAAAAAATATGTGAGGTTCACTTTGTTTTAAAGAGGTAGTGATAATACGCAGCAGAATTTGCGTAACAATAGTGCAGTAAGAATGGGGTCACTTTAACGGGCTAATTAGGCGCTAATTAGTGTACGGATGAAGCCAATACCAAAATTAAGTGTGTCCAGTAATATGCTCTCGTAGATTATGAAATAAAACTGCAAGTTTTTGGCGACATGTGAGGTACACTTTTTTTTCAAATGAAGCATTTAATTTTCAACATCTCTAAAAGCGTTGAAAAATTACATGAAATGTGATTATTCCCATTAAGTAGCTGGGCCTGTCGTGAATATTGGCGTCAATATTGGCGCAAATATTTGCGACATGGAGACCATGTCGTGAATATTGGCGTCAATATTGGCGTCAATATTTGCGACTTTGGCCATGTCGTGAATATTGGCGTCAATATTTGCGTCAATATTTGCGACTTGGGTCCATGTCGTGAATATTGGCGTCAATATTGGCGCAAATATTTGCGACATGGAGGCCATGTCGTGAATATTGGCGTCAATATTGGCGTCATTATATATATATATATATGTGCGATGTCCCTTTAAAGCCACCATAGACGACCGTTGTTTGTCACAATAACAAGACTTAACAACGTGCTGTGGTTTGCTTAGTTATGTAACTCATATCACTTGTGATTATTATTGAAAACGCGTACCTTCAAAGGGGTCATGAAGTGCCTTTCATGCTAAACCAAAATGAGCAAATATCCATGTTTTTACGTGAGCTACCTTGTGGGGTACTTGCACACAGGGAACAATTATGGTACCCCATAAGTCGGCCTTTGTCAAACGGTACCCCGGAAGGGAAATTCTGAAGATGAGGGATAAGACGAGTTCAATGCAAGCATCCCATAAACCCCATAAACCCCAGCCTTAAGATTGGTGTCCCGAACCAAACGAAAATGAGGAAGTAGAGATTTCGGAAGTGCTGCAGTAGTCCATATTTCCAGCATTCAAATACAGATGACGAACCGTCCGTGCATATTCCTCATTGAATGTGTGTCCACAGAGAAACACATTAACATATCCGAACAAAACACATCTCAACTTTGTTTCCGAAGCATCCTTTATGCTGAAGCTTCTTCCTATAAGATGAAATCGCGGTGTTATTCATAAACGATACAATTCGCATAACCATAACAACTCAAAGGTCCGAAACACTCCTAAAAATATCAATACAAAGACTAACATTGAAGGTAAATGGACTTAAAATTGACCGTATCTGCAGTGACGGGGCCAAGGTACTTTCCACCTCATGTTAGTACACGTGCTCAGTGGAGGATCAGTCGGTTTGTTATGTTATTACGTAATTTGTTCAAAGCTTATCACTAGCACAGTGAGTGTAATATAAAATGTCAACACCACGGAGGCCATCTCCATAAAAGAAACGGCCAAAACATTCAATAAATAATCTGATTCAAAATGAAACTTGTGAAATTACCACCGACATGCTGTCACTTAAAGATTTGACTGAGAATTTTCGTAACCCTTTTAACAATCAGTGGTACGGTCCATTGACCTTAGAAGGTCATATATTCTCATAATCTCATTGGTGCCCTTTTTTCATGGGGCTGGAATAAAAGCAAGGAATTTCGTTTGACAAATTGATGGACTTCGCAAAACTCGACTGAAAAACAGCCACTGGGAACAAAACTGCAGAGGGCGGCTTGAAGTACACCCATAAACGTATACACCTGCAAACAATCGAAGTCATCTAAACTTGCTGAAAACCACACCTGTTTCCTTGTTCTTTAAAATATTTAACCGCTCCCCCTTTCTTCCCAACACTTTCCACCACTATTCCTACGTTCTTGTAGAAATTCCGTAATTGAATACCTATAGCAAGGGCGGGATACCTTCACGTTGTACCTGAGCTGGTCCCAGGCCCAGCCTAGTGTGCTCTTTGAATGACTGCCTGACTGACTGACTGTCACTTGTGACATAGACTGGTTGCAAACTGGTCAAGAAAACTCGGGCAGTGCTATCGTATATGATTACCCCGTATCGCTAATGGGCTAAGTCCAGCCTATTGTGTACATCTGATTCACAGACAGACTTCCCTTGAAAAAACCGGTTGGAATCCATTGAATCATCCAATTCTGTGCGTTCTGTGACAACCTTTAAGCAACTTGGCTAGCATTGTCTGTATTCATAAAGTGACTTGCACCACAAATGAATTTTGATCATCCGCAAATTGACAGACCGACAGGTCATTTCTATGATTTTCGTTCCCCCTCCAATTCACCCGAGAGATTAACCCGCTGCGGTTATTCAACTCTTCGTCATCATTTGTGATTTGCTTTGTCCTTACAAGTCGTAATTATCCCACTTGGTCATCGCGCACTCTGACATTTCGCACTGTTTATTTGAGCAATGACAACTTCAGAAATCGAAAACCTTCAGAAAATTGTGAAGTAATTTGGCACTTCAATTAATGATTATATTTTCGGGACATATAAGAAAGATTTGAACATCTGATACGAAGAAGGCGCATATGCATCTACAATAAGATGGAAAGTTATTAATTAAAATATAATTACTAAAACAATAAGACAGGCTTATGTAACACTACATTTACGGATTCACAATCGCAATTATAATAAATATCCATTTTCCCCATTTTCACAAATTATTACAATTAGGCCTATACTGGCAAACCAGTATCAGGAATGTCTCAGATATGTGTTAGATATTTGCAACATGGAGCTTAAAAGCACCCCTAAAAATAATCAACGTTTATATAAAATCTAAAAAAAATCTTGAGTTCTCCAGCATATATATTTTACTCAAATCCAACAAATTCTAAAGCAGGTCACTCGAAAAAAGTTAAATTGCGTGACGTGTAGGCCTACGCCGGAATGTTATTTTGTTTTCACCTCAAAAAACGGAGGAGCTACCCCGCGTGGACCTCAAGATTAAGCGAATGTCATTAAGCACTCTGTTTTATGGCTCCTCGAGAAAACACTTTTACTTCTTTTCGAAAACACCCGCACAAATTCGAGGATTCGTGTTTTCCATTCGCGTCAAGCACGTCATACCTGCGGCTGCAACTTAAGCACCAAAAAGTTCTTACTCCCTGCACTCTCTCGTTGTTTCTTACATGTTCATACATTTATTCCTGACGGCTTGTTGTAGAGTTCTTGTGCAGTTTTCCGATTCGGCGCAATCCCAACTTGGCGCATTTTCCAGGCCATGGTTCGAGTAGTTTCTGATGACACTTCATGGAATTTTACTCAAAATTTGGACCACTTTCCTCCAACTATCTGTGAAACGGTCCATTTAATAATGAATAAGGAATACCATTTATGGCCCGTTTAGAACTCAATAACTCGGCGGTTTTGAGCCATTTTCACAGCGTAGGAGTATTGAGTAGACTTTAGATATGACGCGGCAGTGGCGACCGGCTTACTAGTTGTCTCTTTTATATCAAACTATCCGCTTCGGGGATAGGTTTGTAATCAATGTTAGCCACAATTCATATCCTTCTCCTTGTTGAATGGTCATTATTCTCTCAATAAATCAATTTTTCATTTGGATTTGCACTTGCGTTTTTAAAAACTGTTGAAGCAAAATGGCAGCATCAAAGAACAAGTTCCAACCAATACCTTTGTTTGTGCAGAGTTTTAGTGAATTTGCCTGAAAATAAACTCCTTCCCGCGACTGACCTTTAAGCAATTTGCCCATTGCTCCAT